ATCTAATATCTGTCTAACACAGATATGAGTTGAAGTCAACCAAATTTCTAAAGGGTAAGTAAAAAGGGCCCAAGACTACATCCTATGTCCAGTAAAAAAAAAAAAATCTAATTCCTCTCACCTCCTTGCTTAGCCTTCTAAGAATCTTCTCCCTTTAAGTTCCTCCCCTTCCCAAAATCAATCGCCATTATAATTCACCAGATGTTTACAGGAGCCTTTCCCCCTGTCGGGCAGTGGAAATGTTACGTGAACAAGACAGATGCAGATGCTCCCACAGTTTGGCGAGGACGACAGGCTTCAAACAGGGATGTTCACACCTGCTGGAGCTCAGGGAGCAACAAAAACAAAGGCAATCTCTAAGAAAAAGAAAGCTATAGTAGATGGCTGTTCCACTGAAAGGAATTATGCCATGAACCTGAGAATGTCAGAGTGGTTTCCAATAACAGATAGCAAGGGGCCACCAAACAACTAAATTGTCATCAATGTGAGCAACATCATCGGAATAAAATACTTAAAATATAAATAACCTTATCTGAGAAGAGCTGCTAAACTGTGGTCCTGTAGTGCAAACCTTCTACAAATAAATGAGACCAATTCATGACCAATTTATACTATTTTACATAGAATTCTAGCAAGTTTGGTTATCTAGGTTTCTAACTTTTTTTCTCAACATGGACCATAGAGATGAGCATATTTATAACGCCGCCTGGGGTAAGGTGACCAGGGTGCAGATGAAGGCAACAATAGTGAAGGCTCACCGGCAATCCAGGCCCTTCTGAGTGCCCTGAGAACTTAGGGACTGTTATCAACTCACCCCTGTAATGAAAAAAAAAAATTATTGAAGTATGATTAGCATACATTATTATATTAGTTTCAGGTGTACAACTCAGGATTTGACATTTATATACCTTATGATGTGATCACCATACACAGTCTAGTAACCATCTACCATCATGCAAAGTTATCATATTACTATTGACTATGTTCCCTCTGCTGTATACTACACCTCCAAGGCCTATTTATTTTATAACTGAAAGTTTATACCTTATTACCCTTCACGTTTTCATCACTCCCCAAGCCCACAACCATTAGTTTGTTCTCTGTTGCTATGAGTTCCTTTCTGTTTTGTTTTGTTGGTTCATTTGTTTTGTTTTTTTAGCTTCCACATATATGTGAAATCATACAGTATTTATATTTCTCTGTCTGACTTATTTCACTTAGCATAATACCTCTAGGTCCATCCATACTGTCATAAATAACAAGATTTTATTATTTTTTATTGCTGAATAATATTTCATTGTGTGTATGTGTGTGTGTATATACATTGTGTGTATACATATATATATACACACACCAAATCACAACATCAAAAAAAATAAACAATCCAATTTTTTAAATCCCATCTGTAAATTATATGCCTCCCACCAAGCTCGTGCTGCCTGACTGTTTCTTTACTAGAAGAGGCTTTGCAAACATGGCTGCTTTCTCCACTCAACAACAACAAGCTGTTTCATTTCTGTTAAAACTTCTAAGTCTAGTTGCACTGGCATCTGGTGGCTAGAGGCCAGGATGCCACTGAACACCCTGCAGTGCACATGACAGCCCTTTGCTTCTAGTCATGACCTCTGATTAGATTCCTCCCCAGCTTATTACTATGCTTACTATGCTTTTGTTTCAATTTAATTAAGTCAAATCATGCGTAGTTTAATATAAGAAGATCAGAAACCAGTTGAAGAAGAGGCTTTTACAGAGAAATTTACCTGGATGTTCAGGGTGTGTGTTCAGAATAACTCAGCTGAAATGACTTTTTGTCACTTTAAGCTGCCTAGTTGCCTCTACAAAACCTTTGGGGAAGAAGGAATACAGGAGTAGGAAAGAAAGAAATAAGAGAAGGAAGGTGAGGGCAGGGGCTAAGTAGAAGGTGTAATTAGTAGGAGATAAAACTATTTTTAAAATAGGACAGGGGTCACTGACCTTGTTATGGGAACCAAACTATTCTAACATTATCGACTGTCCAACCAGTAATTCAGTTGCATTCTTTCAGCTCCTCCAGAGCCTCCCTGCCTCCGTCCCATCTCAGGGACTTGCACATACTCTTCCCTTGGGCATACTCCTCCCACAACACCCTCGCTCCTTTTTCACCTCCGCCAAGTGCTTATCACCTGCAGTGACTTTGCTCCCCAGGGGATGTTTAATAATGTCTGGGACTATGGTGGTTGTCACAGCTGGAGTGGGGTGCTATTGGCATCTAGTTGGTAGAGACCAGAGATGCTGCTAAACATCCTACAATACACAACCGCAGAGCATTATCCTGTTAAAATGCCAGAATGTGGAGGCTGAGAAACCCTGCCCTACCCTTGTGCTCTCCACCTACCACTTGGCACTTCCCAGGGAAGACTTCCGGACTCCAAGACAGGGCACTTATCCCAGCCTGGGATTTCCTAGTGCACGTGTCACAGATGTAATGAAAATCCAGTTTGCGATATCTGTGTTCAGTGCTGGACTGAGAGCTCCATGAGGACCAGATCACGTCTCTTGTACAACACCGTATGTTCAGCGCCTAGCACATACGTTAAAGGAAGAGTTTAGGGATCCCTCCTGGAGAGCCTTAGGACAGTGCAAAAGCTACAACTGGATCAGTCAACACATCAAAAATGGTCCTTCCCAACATGCTTATCCATCTTCTTCACTAGATTGCCCTCCAAATGCCTTTGGCTGTTTTAAAGATCAAATACTTTCTCAGTGAACAAGTTGCTGCATTAAGGGCATCCAAGAGAATGGGGCTCAGGCATGTAGACAATATGTCGAGCGAAAGAGAACATAACTTCCCGCGATGAGCAGCTTGAAAGGGATGACACTCACGTGACACGTAAGCTTTAACATACTTGTTTAGATGCCAGTTTCATTGTTTGATATTTACCCTAAGGAAATGCACAAAGACAGGATGACAGACAGTTTTGTGAATGAAAAGAACAGGAAACAAGAGTATATGAAATAAAGTAAATATTTTAGAGGTTTCCACAGTGTACTAAAACATAAACTTTGGAAATCACATGGAACTGGGCTCCATCTCTTACTAAGTGTGTGATCTTATGGAATTTTCTTAAATTATCTGAGAGTTAGTTTACTAATCCAAAATGAAAAAAAAACACCCAGCTCTCAAAATCTCTGTGTGGATTAGTGGAGCAATAAATTTAAAGTACTAGCATACTACCCAACTCTACACTCAGAAGTTGTATATAATGAAGGTCTACTTCCTATAAAAGAATTAAAACACCATTCTAATCCCAAGAATGATGTAAACTGAGAACGCAGGCTGAGAAGATTCCTCCATTCATTCATCAAAAGTTTACCGAGCACCGGGTCCTCTACTAGGGGTACAAGAGTAAATAAGAGTGAGCATCTTACCACAACGGGAGTCCTGAAAATATATTTCACTCATTGATTCTTGTAATGGGGAGAACAGTGTAATAATGGGTCAAAGAAATAATGCATTTCAGACTCACGGCACAGTTTTCTTGTCTTGAAAAACTGACGTAAGTCGTATTTATATAATTAATATCATTTTGTATTCTTTGGTTGTAAGAAACAAAATCCCACTCTGAATAATTTGAGCAAATGACAATGCACTGCAAAGATGTGGTGTGGCTCAGAGAACCAAAGGCCTGGAGAAGAAACCCCAGGAAGGGTGGTGGGACCAGAGCCACTCCTGAAATTTCATTTCCATCTCATCAGAGCTGCCACAAGGATGAAGCTGCCATTTTCTGTTAGTCTAACCTTCATTCTTGCATCTTCCCTCTTAGACATAAAACAGAGAGTCTAACCAGTTTTAGGACACACACCGACCCCTCAGCTAAGGAAAGTCAAATCGCCTTAAATTACATTCCCAACAAGATTGTCCACATCAGCAGAGAGGCCATTCACCAAAAGGAAATTAGGGTTGTATTGCCAAAAGAAAAGGAATGGCTGATGCTGCCTAAAATAGAACAACAGCAATAAATAATAGCAGCAACAGACACTATCTTGTAATGAGTGCCTTCTATGTTAAGCACCTTATATCTATGATCTTATTGAATTATTACCAATAAGATCATAGATATTAGGTACTAGGTTAAGCACCTTATATCTATTATCTTATTGAACTATTGCCAATAAGATCATAGATATTAGGTACTAGGTTAAGCACCTTTTATCTATTATCTTATTGAACTATTACCAAAACCTTATGAGGTAGAAAGTACTATTACTTCCATTTTAAAGATTAATGAATCAAGCTCAGGTATGTTCAGTAACCCAGCTAGAAAACTGAAGCATGTTCTGATGCCAAAAATGTACCTAGCCGCCACGCTGTCCTGCTTCCCCACCAGCCGCGGGCCGTGGACGGCCGGCTGCTGCGCGCTCCAAACGCGGGAGCCCCGGCGCC